CAGCCAGCTGTCTATTTTGATACCGAGATGAGCCTGAGTGGCTCGTGCTCTTGGCTGCCTGGGCTTCTGTCCCTCTCCTCTGTTTTTTGTCTCTATGGTTCTGCAGGGTCTGGGTCCCCAGGCAGTGGTGGTGGTGGTAACAATGAAAGATGTCCTCTCAGGGCCTGGAGATCTTACTCTTGGCCTCTGTGATACCCACCTAGCCCAAGGTATTCTAGGTTGAGGCTCTCTCTCCATGGAGGTTTTTCTACTTCTTGTTAACCTGTGTGAATAGAGTCTAAGGGAATACTGGGTCTCCCTCTAGTGACTACTGCTGGTGGCCACAGAGGTCACCTGTTACCAGGTGGTGCTGAGGGAGCCAAAGTCAGCTTTGAGTCTCCACTCACCTGGGTGGGGTCTGGGGGAGGATGGAGGCTCAGCTACACTGCAGAGTCTCAGGGAATTAGGGCACATCTGCTCCAATGTCTTCTGCTGACAGAGGCAGGCATGGAGCCCAGAGAGGAAGGTTGAGTTCAAGGTTACTTCAAGGAGTAATGAGAGTGAGTGCAGGGACCAGTACGGAGCTAGAGCAGACAAGGCTGTGCCCTGTGGCCGTGGGCTATTGAAGGGGGCAGAAGATATGAGGGACTCAGAATGAGGCAGGCTTGGAGCAGGGGAGTTTCTGTGGCATGGACATGGCCAGGCCCCATTAGCCGGGAGTAAATAGGTAGACTGGTTGCCCTTTGGCCATGCAAAGAAGGAACAAAGGCTTCAGTTCACACGGATCTTGGTCACATGACCAGCCTCCCTTCTCAAGGCCTTACTGGTCTGCTTTGCCCAAGGGAGCAGCTCTCCCATGTTACAGACAGACAATCAGGGCACAGGGACATGAAGTGACAGAACTGGGCAGGGGCAGCAGAAACCCCTCTGTGCTAGCCTGGGAGGGTGGCCTTGGCCTTGGGGAGTCTGCCCTCCTAGGCCAAGTTGCCCTCCTTCGGCTGTGTGACGCCCACATGGCCTTTCTTCCCATGTGCATAGGAGGCCTTCTCAGGGGAAGTCACCTTGCCACCCCTAAGAGCAGCTTAAACAGGACAAGGACAGCTAGTGACTTAAGGAGACCTTGGGGTCAAGGACAGAGCCTGTAGGACTCATAGACTCAGGGAAGGAAAGAAAAGCTTAGGCTTGGGGGTAGGGCAGGGACTAGGGGATGGGAGGAGGGAAGGGAAAGGCTTTCAAAGAGAGAATGAAAGAAATGAGTTATTCCAGCATGGGGAGCTTAGAAAAGTCCACTGAATCTTTTAACAACCCTGTCAATTATTCATTTTCTACTATGGGGGGAAGGGGGCGGCACTCTGGTAGGCCTCTGAGCCGCTATGAGTAGGGCAGAGGGAGGGAGGGAAGGGGAAAGAAAGAGGGGAGGAGAGAGTGGGGGTAATATCAGAAAGAAATGGGAATATACAAAGACAATGGCATGTGTCTGCGAATGTGTGTGTGTGCACGAATGTGTGCATGTGTGTGCGCACGTGTGTGCGCACGTGTGTGTGTGTGTGTGTGTGTGTGTGTGTGTGTGTGTGTGTGTGTAGCGGGAAGAAGGAGAGAGCAAGTAAACAATGGTGGGGTGGAGGGCAATGGAAGGGAACAAGCCCTGCTTGAATCTCTGGGTGGAAAGGACAGTGAGTACCTTGTCTGAAGCCTGGTCCTCCTCCTTCAGGAAGCCTTCCTATGTCCTCTCTCCTCCCTCACCTCTTTTAGGAAGGTCCTCTGTCTGGATCATGTCCCCCTGCTTGTCCGTCCCTCACATGCGCATCTGCGCTGTGTCACTGATAGCTGTGGCTGTTCCTATCTGAGGGGGATCTCCAGTTCTCAGGCCTCTGTTTCCTCCTTTGCCCCCATGGCCTCACTGGGCACTCATTAGGCTGGGCCATCCTAGGCTTTTGATTAGCTGGAGAGGTCTCATAGATCTTTATGAGTAGAATTCCACCCCTTTGGAGACTAAACAGAACCCTTCAGTTTACCTGCTGTGGCGGTGGCATCAGGAGACACTAGCTAGCTAGAGTGAGGTGGTTTGTCCATTGGATAAGGACAAGATGTTGGCAAAGTGCATTTTGGGAGAACCGTCCTTTTGAGAATGACTCAGGAGCACAACACTTTCAAAGCTATGTGTGCTCTGGCCTGCTCTTAAGGGACACATTGTTTCCCTTAGTTCTGCCATGGGTCCTACCCTTAATCTCAGCAGTCCCATCCAGCACTGAGCATTTTACTGCTCTGAAAAAACAATTGTCCCCGGAATGACTGCATTAGAGGTAGGTGCCTGGGGATGGGAAAATGTCTGGACTTGGTAGGAGTCCCAGCTGGGGTCTGTGTGCTATGAGGGGCAGGGAGCATTGCATGGAAGACCTCAGACTACATCCCCTCTACCTGCCCTTCCATCCCCAAGGATCATCTTTCCAGAGAATGTTCTATTTTCAGTACTCCCAAGTAGATTCAGGAGGGAGCCAGAGATAAAATGGATTTGAGGCTCTGGGGACTGCATGGCGACACTAGACGGAGACTGAGGCGCCACAGAAGTCAGGTGATGCAGAAAGGTTCAGCCAAGGCCACAAAACAGAACAGAGGGGCCACTTATTCATCCTGGGGTCACTGCACAACTACTGTGCCACAAGGCACCCTGCCTCACCCACAGGCTCTGCTGATGACACTGTCTGATACAGGCCCCAAGTCACATACCTCAGGATTGTGTCACTGATGCTCAGGTGCCTCAGGGTCCCTCAGGTATCTGCTGCTATAAGTCTGTGACTTGAACCTCAGGTACTGTGCCTTTGTCTGTCCCACAGTCATGTCTCCCTGCCCTAGAGTGATGGGTGACATCATCTTACACCAGGGTCTATTACTATGCAGCCACACTCCTGGGTTCCACGGCTGTACACTGCTGCTTGTCAGTGTGCCTTCTGGTTGCATGAGTTCATCTACTGCTATGTAATTTTCTTTGGTTGCCATGGAACAGTGACCCATGGCTGCACAGCTGCTGTGATTGGGCGTGGAGCTGTAGACTGTTGCTACCCAACCACATTCTGTTACTTGCAACCAGGTTCTCTTGGCTATGGGAAAGTATATGGCTGGCCCTGCCCTCATTTTTCTGAGCTCTGGTCTGTAGGTTTATAGGATAGCAGCTAGGATAAAGTAATGTCAAGGGGGCTGGGGAAAGAGCAGGGGCGGGGAGAGTGTCCTTGTGCTGTATTGGAGGGCTGAATCAGGCATGGGAAGATACAGGCTGAAGCTGAGAGTCAGGAAGGAGAGTTCAAAGTTAGCATGGTCTGGAGTAGACTGGAATGGGCAGGAAAGAGGGCCAGGGCCACTGCCTTTTATGGAGCACAGAATGTGGGTTAGCTAACCACAGGCCTTTGCAGCCACTAAGAATTCTCTGGATGCTACATAGCATGGGTTGACAAGGCCAGGGAGTCTTGGGCAGGTATCATATTACTTCTGGACCAGGTCATAGCCACCGTTGTTAAAAGAAAACAGGTCACAAATGGTGGTTATTCTTGGTCAGAAACAATTTTTCTTAATGGCCCATCTTAACTTTCAGGCCACAGTCTAATTCCTGTATTTAAGAAAAAGTCAAGACTAACTGGCTGTCTATCCATGTTATACCATTCTTTCTGACATTTAAAGTCGGGTCCTCAAATGTCTACCCACAGATCCTGCCAGGCCCTTTTCCTCCCAAGCTGTTTGCTCCTCCTCTCCCATTCTTTATCATCCTCAATCAATTTCACAGGTTCAGTGAGCCTCCAGGCCAGAAATTCCACCCCTTTCTATGTCTCCCACCACAGACAAATGCACAGTATAAGTTATGTGTGTCCACCACTGCATATGACCTAGGCTCTCAGACTTGCTGCCCTCAGCTCAGACCTTACCAGCTGTGGGGTGGGGCTTGGCACTACTCACTCCTTGCTCATACTATGTCCAAGATGTTCAAGTAGGGGTCTGCATGTCTACTCTCAGATGTAGTGTGACTCAGGGTGAACTCTGCCCTCTGGAATTGGGTAGGGCTGAGGCTTGATTGGTTCCCTCCAAGGCAGTGGGGCGAGGGCAGGAACTCACTGAAACTCTCGGGTGATAACCAAGGAGGACCTCCTTCACTTTCTCCTTCCTCCTGTCTGCCCCTTCCTGGCTTCACTTCACTTTTTCTCACTACCCTGGCTTTTTCAAACCCACCTTCTTTCTCTTCTGTATTGATTTGGGTCAGGTTGTTCGAGCTCACAAGAACTGGTTTACCATGCTGTCCCAAATATCCCTGTCTGAGATCTGTACTTTTATTTTCAATGCAATTGATGGCTGGGCTGGAGGTGGCTCCTGAGTTCTGCTTCTCTGCAGGGCGAAGGTGGAGTGTGTGTGTGCTGGAAATGTTTTCGAGAGCTATTGCTGGTCAGGAAGGCTCTGCTCTGGGGGAGGGTGCTCCATGTGGGGGCCTCCTGGGTACACTCAGCAAGCAGCAGCTTATTGTCTTATGGCACATGTTTCAGAAAGTTACCAAGTGCCAAGGGTTGGTAAGGAGACTGCCAGTGAATAAGGGCCAGTCCTCACAGGGGGAGACCTGAGGACTAGATTGGTGGCTTTGCCTGGGGCTTTCTTCAGGCTTTTTGGAACAGCATTTGCTCCTGGGATCCATTGTGGATGGCCGTAGGAAAGCCACAGAGGGAATCTCTCATGGCCATTGGCTGGCGTGGTGATGTCTCCACTGGGGATTTCAGAGAGATTGTCTTTTGAGTGTAAGCTCTTTTGCTCTCTGTACCAAGATGTTGAGACTCAGAAGTAACCATCCTGAGACCAGGTCCCAAGATCAAAGACATAGACTGTGCCTGGAAATAGTTTAGTGTCCTTTTTATAAGTTACAGCTCGTCTCTTGGGGACTTCCCATGGCCTGAGGGGTGTACTCTGGGCTGAATGTGGCTGAGAAGGCATTACAGAGAGCCCACATAAAAGGCGAAGAAACTGAAACGGAGGCACACCTCCTTCCCACTAGCCTGTCTTTGAGGGTAACTCACATGCAGTGTGTGCCAAAGGGGTGGTCTGCTTGCCACCTGGGGAGGGATCTCAGGGGTGGCTCTTGACCCTCCTTCCCCATTACCCCATCACAGCACAAGTCCTCCATGTCCTAGGGAGAGGCACTCACCATGTCACGCAGTGTCTGAGGCTCCTCTGCTTCTGCAGTGGTGTCTGAGGAATTCATGGACCAGGATTCACGGATGGCACCCAGGTTCTCATCTAGGATCTTGGGGTTCAGGATGGGCAGAACCTTGCTTTTGTTTGGTGTCAAGAAGTTTTCTGGCCTCTAAAAAAGATGGAGAAAGACTTTGAACCCACCCTTCCATGGTGCCTGCTATACTCCAAGCTTCCTGGCATGGCTCAGCAGGCCCTGCACACCTGTCCTCTGTTCACTCTCTGCCCCTTGCGTATGGGTCCTAGCAGCAGTGTCCTGCAATTCCTCCAGTAAGCTAAGCAAGTCACTGCCTCAGGACCTTTGCTCCTGCTTCTTTCTCTACCAAGGAATCTTTATACAACTGTCCCCTTACCATTATTTGGGTCTCACCTATGTGAGAAGCCCTGCCCTTTGACACAGAGACCACACCCCCACTCCATAGTAACCCCATAATTCATGGCATACCGTTTTACAGTGTTCACAGTAATTACTCTATGAAAACCCCTTTCAAACAGTGGGGTTGTTTATTGACTCTTTCTGCCTTCTCCCAGTAGTCACACCAAGACTGAGTTTTCGTGTAAGCAAGAGCACCATTATCTCCAGTGTCTTGCTCATTGTAGGCACTCCGTGTTTATAGGTACTCAATGAGTATGCCACCAATGACCTCCATACTCTTCATAGTGACAACTTCTAAAATGCCTCACTCGAAATGTCCATTTCGTCTCTATCATCGTCCGGTTTGATCACCCCCTTAGAGTGTCTGTCACTGTGGTGAGCCCTTCTTCATTACCCTCTCTTGTCTCCCTCCTCTTCCCTTGGGAAGCCCTCTGCCTCTGTCCTTGGTAAAGGGGTTTCTGGGTTCTTCCAGCCCAGTATTGGCTACCTGTACTCTCACATTGCTCTGTGGTTCTAGGCTAGTTTGTAATTTTTTTTTGTTTTTCTAACAAAAATTTATATTCCTTAGCCTTAGGAACATGTGTCATGGTCTTTTTGTGGGGCTGGTGAAATGGCTCCACAGGTAAACAAGCTTACTGCCAAGCCTGAAGATGTGAGTTAGATCCCTGAGACCCATGCTGCGGAAGGAGAGTTATCTCCTGCATGTTGTTCCTTGACATCCACACAGGCACCATGGCACATGTTGACACATACACACATACACAAAATTAATAAAAGTGTAATAGTTTTCTTTACTTAAGGAAGACTTATTTGAAACACATTGTTAGCTCTGCCTTCAGCCTTTTGTTTGAAGCATCACTCAGTCTCCTGGTTTACAGAGGCCTCAGATGTGATGCCATCTCACCCTGCACTGGCTGTTGGAATCCTCACCCAGCCTCAATGCAGACACATTCACTCACTGGGTGGTGTTCTCCTCAAAGCAAACAGTGCCATGGGCATAATGCCCATGGGGAGACATGCTCAGGGCTCCAGGTGCCCAGTGTCTGCCTCTAAACAGCTGGAATGAACAGGGTGAGGGTGTACCTCAGTAAGTGGACACTATATGAAAATGATATACCTGAACTACATAATTGGGATGAAAATGCTGTACTCGAACACTGAGGTGTTTGCAATAATTTCTTTGTGTGCCATACAATTCAGGATTCAGGAATGCATTATAACGTGGGGCTTTTACATGCTTATGTCAGCAGAGTTAGGGGTCACTCACACACACATGGAATTGCCTGGGACATCCTAAGCTCTGATTCCCTCTCCTTTGAATGGGAGTAAAATAGATAATTCCTAAGAGAAACATGTACAAATGCTCTTGGCATGGAAGAGGGATGCATTTAGTGACCCGAGGCTGACTTTAGCAGGCCATTTAAATCTGTGAACACCAGCCCAGCTTACTACTTTATCTTTTGTTTGAAGAGGAGCAGGATTCACTTAGATGCTTCCCAAATGACACTGAGCCTTCTATGCCCTGGAAGTGCCCAGGGCAGGATTTGGGGTTTTCTAAGTGAGTGTTTGCAACAAATCTGTCTTCTATCCAGAAACTTTGCACATTTGGGGATGGGAAGTTGATTCAGAGGTTAAGAGCACTGGCTGCTCTTCCAGAAGATCTGGGTTCTATTCCTGATTCCCAGCACCCATGGATATGGTTCCCTATACAAGCTTCTATGGACACGAGGCAAGCATATGGTACACAGGAATATATGCAGGCAAAATATTCATACACATAAAGTAAATATATTTTAAGATGCTGAACATCAGACTGACTACAGAGGGATAGCCATAAAATGCTTACTGTGTAGAATGATGGGTGGGTGGTAGAAACATAAGAAATAACTAGCCAGGGCAAAACCCACCTCCCTTGTGACCAGGTGGGTCCAAGCTCGGGTGAGATGCTGATTCAGGACCTGTAATGACATTTCTCCTCATTTCCAGGCAGAAAGCCAATCTCAATGCCCTGGATTTCATAGACTGCCATCTAATCCAGTTAGAGGAGGAAGTAGGAGTAATGAAATCAAAAGAGGTCTCCAGAGGTGGCCCAGTCATTACAGAAAGCAGGGACAATTGTGGAGGGAGTCACCTCCCCCACCGCTTGTCTCCCTGTTGTCCATCCTGTATGGTCCCAGGACCAGCTAGGCCAACTCAGTAATGTGGGACCTGATGTTTTGGGGTCAGACTTACACAGTCACCAGATACTTTTAGGCAGATTCTGATACTATGTATAAATTCCTTTAATTTCATAACAGATAAATTAAAAATGAGACTCTCCATCCAGAACAGTGAATTCATTCCACCAGTCTCTGCTAGGTAGGGGAGTACCCTGCGGAGGAGGGGAGGCAGGCCGATTAGGAGGGGGCAGGCTGTGGAAGGGCAGGAGAGTAAAACCTTGTGGATGAACTGCCTATTCAGGCCTTGCCAGCTCTGCTAGCCCCATTCTTTTCTGCCTGTTCACCACAGGCTTGTTTATTTGCTTTTCTATTTGGCAGGCCTGTTGGGGCAGCATGAGGCTGACAAGTGGCCCCTCAGTCTGTACCTCCGTGGTGGTAGCAGATCTTGCTTCATTAGAACTGTAATTGGGGACTGACTTTGAAAGCTCAAAGAGATGCATAGCCATGCACCAGCTCAGACTCAGCACCCAACCCAGCCCCTGTACTGTGCCAGCTGCTGAACACCACATGAAAAACATGGGAGGAGGAGATGTCCAGCAGGCACTCTTAGCAGCACTGGGGGGGTGGGTCTGTTGAGACAGGCTGGGCCAATGACATTCCAAGCTGGCAGCATTTTAGGTCAGCTGTCTTCCCTCCCAACCCTCAACACCTCTGTTGCCCTCCTCCCTACTCCATCCCTAGATCCCTGGTCATGCAAAATGCAACAGCTCTTGCTTGCCCTGGCAATTACAAAGCAACCCTACTGCAGCTGCTGTCCGCGGTGCTGAAAGTGCCCGCCTTCTGGCCAGCCTGCCTCTCGCCCCGCCCTGAGCTGTCTTGGTGGGGAACACTGGCTCTTAATTCAATTAGCTGGCCCTGAACCCTCCCCAGGGAGCCTGGAGCGGAAACTGACAAATTCTGTTTAACAAAGACATTTGTCCCCCGCCCCGCCAGGCTTAGGGCTCTGCTCTCCTGTATCCTGCTCATTAGGTATCTAACAAAGTGCGTCCCAAGAAATCTGCTTCCAATCGCTAGTAATTCAGGAGGTCTGATACAATTTTCTCCCTGATAAGGGTGGCTCGCCCGCTGGCAAGCTCATAATGAGCCCTGTGCAGTTGCTCCCTGATCAGTCGCTGCTTTGTCATTTCCTGTGGGCTGCAGTTGTAGGTTCTTATCTCTTCAGCTGTAGGCGAGGCTCAGACAGCAGGCCCTTCAAGAGGGCCTCCCATGCATATGGCCAGCCTCATTTAGGGCATCCTGAGGGCTGTTGCAGCTATGGCAGGTTTGAGCATCTGAGTGGCTCTCCCAGCCAAAAGGGGCTCACGTGTTAGTACTCAATGGAACCAGGATATATCCTTCAGAAAAATGGTGTTAAACTGCACCCACCCCCAAGCAGGGGGTTAGAATGAGGGTGGTAAAGATTTTATTTATTTTATTTTATTCTGTTGGGGTGTTAGAGCCTTGTCTGTGACTTAGTAGATGGACTGTGGGCTCATTCACTCTTATGCGCCAGGAATCATTTTTACCTTCATTTCAGCAGCCCCTGTTCACATTTGGACAGAGCCACACCCTATTTATTGCTGCTTAAGGATTTTCTATTGTTGCCCATCAGTTTTTGGCAAAGTCCAAACCTTGTGTCCTGTCATCTACCCGATCCTTCCACAATCTGGGCCCCACTTACAAGTCCAGGGTCACTGCTTACTACAACATCTACGTATCCCACAAGCCTCCATGTCATTGCTGGTGCTGGTCTCTGATATACCTCTGCTTTCCCAATTTCTAAGCCACTATCTGAAGTATAAAGCAAACCACACCTCTGGGTGACACTTCCCCTGGCCTTGTATTTTCAGTGCAGCATCACATGCAGTGGTAATCTGTTGAAGTGCTTTATTGGTAGGTATGGGTCAGGGCCCAAATAAGTAGAGCCCTGATAAAATTATAAATGTGTGATCTTGGGAGGCCCAGGGATCCATCTGGTTTGTTTGGAGGACTAGCCTAGACTGGTCTGGTCTTGAGTTGGGGAGAATCCCTAGTGTAAGGATTTTGGCATTATGCTGGCCTGCCCCTGTCACCTGGCAGAATGCACTCAGGCAGTACCCTGGTCAGCATGCAGATGCAAAGGACCCCTTTAAAAGAAAGATCTCCACCCACTTATGCTCTCTTTTCTGCTGTTCCCTTTGGGCAGATAGGACTTTTCCTCTCTCCTTCTCTTCTGTCCTCTCTCTGCCTCTGTGTCTCTTTACCTCTTTTCTCTTTTCTTTCCCTTTGTAATAAAACTCCTCACTAAGCTCTGTCTGCCTGACATGTTTGTCCCTCCACCTAGGTCACCCTCACTTGCCATGGAATCCTCCGAGTCCCCCATGCACTTTATTGTAACACCTAGACCAGCTCCCACTTTCTTAGAAGTTTTTCTAGAAGCTTCTACTCCTCTATTTCTTCCTCTCATGTCTTCAGTCAACAAATTCTGCATTGAGCTCATAAGGAAAGCAGCACAGAGAACTTAGGACACTGTTTCTTCGGAGGCATTTCAAGCTCATG